CTTATTACTATAATGTAGACATGTAAATCCTTTAATATACTTGTATATTTAAGGATTGGGCCACAATAAACTTGTGGCCCAGAACTCCATGACTTCTTCCAATGTGACCCAAAGAAACAAAGGTTTGACACACCTGTTTTAGATAGTAATTTTATTCTCCATATTACATTTATTTATGAATAGCCGGGTGTGCTTGGCGTTGCTTTGATTTTTGATGGGATGGGGATTGGTGAGGCTGGGTGGAAAAGGGTGGTAAAAACAATGGTCTTACTAGCTAAAATGTATATTTATTAACTCGAGTATTTACAATAATCAACTACAAAACAAAAAATTGCTCGGGCTTAGGGATAGATGGATAGGTTTTAGGAGTGGTTGGAGGTGGAAGCCTCCATAAAATTTTTCTAGTGTCGAAGAATATTCATGCCAAATTTGGTGGGCATGTTTAACTATACAAAACCTTTATCTAACATACATACATATTTTGACATATATATATATATATGTGTCAAAATATGTATGTATGTATGGATCAGATCAATAATATATATATATATATTATTGCTCTGATCCATCGCATCATATTTATCCTATTTAGAAGAGTGTAGTGATTAGTTTTACTTTTTAATATACTCAAATGTATCTTAAGTTATTTTTAAATTTATGGTCAAAGTGTGGAATTTATTTTTATAACAAAACAAATATAAGTTTCTAAGAATTCTTTTTTATATATATTCTAGTTAATAATTTGATGTGTTTTTTTATATTGTTCTATTTTTATTATTATTGGTTTTACGTTTATCTTCCGGGAGGTTCTATACCAACCTTAACCATTGCCTTCCTTTCAATTGTATATAAAGGGATGTGTTAGTGTGTTTAGCCTGAAAAACAGGAGTAGGAAAGGAAGGAGTAGAAAGAGGAACCTGTGATGGGAGATAGTAAAAGAAAGAACTTCGGGCTTAATTTGCAAGACTGGTTCCTGTAGTTTATTCAATGCAGCCAAGATTCATGAAGCAATAATAAATTGTTAGCTAGGTAGAATAGTGTTATAGATTGCTTGTTATTGAAAAGCTTAGGCACTATACAAATCTTAGCTAACTTAAAAACAACTTACCCAGATTATTATTAATTTCTAGCCTACAGATAAAAACACTATTAAATTATATTAAAACTGCTTTATGTTAATTTACAACTAATTAAAGCTACTTATTCTAAAACTCATTTAAAAATAAAACTTGAATGGAACTTTTAACCTTATCCTCTTATCGTTAAAAAGTTCTACCTAGTAGAAAGTTACCTAATTGTATTCTACCTGGTCCTAAATCCGAATGGCTCACGCAGTTTTCTGCTGATTTAGTCTGTTATTCAATGAATCAAGTTTCAAGTCCTAGTCGAATCCTCAGAACTCTCAAAAATGGTCTAACTCAGATACGGCAGGCCTCATCTAACCATCATGAGTCTGGCCGAATCCGTGATGGGCCTATTATAAAAATCTTTATAATATTCATTTACTGCCCACAGGATAAGAGTAACATAAAACTATTCTATTCTGTCTTTACCTTTCCTAACAGTAAGCTAAGTTACTCTGTACTAAACGTAATCCGCAATAATATGCAAGTCGACAGCATCGCATGACCAAAGATCCGTACGAAATATATTTAAGTGTTGTCTAAGCGTCGATAATGTAACGTAATCAAGTATATGAACTTTAAGCAACTATCGAATTTCGAAATCCTGTGTAAAACTATTACATTTTTTGAAGTTACGTAGAATTTTGCTTTATGTAAATTAAACCTCACGTCTAGTACAGTACCTATACAATCTATAAAAACAGTGATTTAAGATACTGCCCTGTATCTGCGTAAGATACAAAAGAAACACCTGCATCGTCTACTATGTAGGGCCATCAATGTAAATCTTAAACATATTGTAGAATAGAAATCACAAAAGTAATCGTCAGATCATTTAAGAATATAATCGTTAATCAGGATAACGTTTTTTTATTTATGTAAAAAACGTTTCACGTCGTCGATAAGACCTAGACCGAGTCCTATTTTCCCCAATAATTTGGCCATCATCCGAATTAAAATAAGCCTGTTAAGAAAATTTACGATATTATCTTGTCAAATAACAGACTTATTAACTGTGTATTGGGTCAAGCGACAAGATCAGTGGGACAAAGGTGATAATTGTCATCTACGTAAGCAAGCAATTATCTGGTCAGATAAAAATTGCTACCTATTTATGTACTTTGGAAGCTACGAATCCCATAACCTCATAAACCAAGTTTCAATTTAGTTATTCTCTATAAAACGATTAATACTGTCACTAATAGTATCTTTTAGCCGCATGACATTATCACGTAGTTAAACCATTCTATGTATCGATGGCCTTATCGGTCTTTTGGAGGTCGCCTTTCTTCTTGTGGGTACTAAGAGAGCCTTTATTCCTTGCTCATCGTGGGTTCGTGGGACGGACGGGTTATAAGAGATTGGGCCTAATATATCCGAGATAGACCGTCCGGATTCGATTTCGAACCCGGAACCGTAAGCTGAAGGCAAAATAAATAAATCAAGGAGTGAATAAATACAAAGAATGAACTCTAAATAATAAAAACAAACACAAAAATTTCGCCATACAAGATAAACCGCCGATATTGCTACTACTAAGCTACTTAAAATTAGTTAAAGTTTATTTAAAGCTAACTTAAAATTACTTAAAACTATTTGAAAATCAGGTTCTGGAGGCGAGAGAAAGAAAACTAAAAACACAGGAAGTCAACAATTTTCTAGAAGCTTAGAGCAATGAACCGGAAATGGCCAAATTACGCGAAAACTGCCGAACGTAGGCAAACAAAATAAAGAAATTTCCGACACCGAACCTCTTCCCCATTCACTTACAAAAACATAAGTCTTTATAAAGGAACCAAACGTAAAAAAAAGCGAAACCAAATTAAACTTAAACTTAGCCTTAAAAGAAAAAAATCGAGCCATCTAAACTTATAAAACTACTAAAAGTTAACAAAAGGGGTGTCCAAAGAAAGAAAAATGCTAAGGAATAAGGATAAAATAGTAAAAATAGCTGAAAAATAAGGAGTTAACCAACATCTACTGCATTGGCAACGTGCCAACTGCGATGACACAACACTAACTACGCACAGCGATCGAAAAACCTAAATAAAACGAGAATTAACCGACTAAATACGACAAATGAGACATCGAAAGATATTTAACAATTAGAATTACTTAAATTTAACAGTAAATTAAAAGAAGAGAACTGACGTTCCATGTAGCTTCTACCGACAGGTTACCAGCACCAACAGAGGATTCGATAGGAATGACTTCATCATAACGTGGTCTGTGAAGTTGGAAACGCCCATATCAATATTTTCAACGAAAATGCGTGTACTATTTAGTACGCATTTTATACTATTTTGTACAAACAAAATTAAAATTTTACTTTAAATCGTAATTTGTACCATTTATCAAAATGGACTACTCCAACTTTACGCTAATTAGCACATATGCCAATTTTGTGTTAAATTATTGATAAAATTTACTGCAAATTTGCACTTATTTGTACAAAAATTAAAATCTGTGTTTTACATTTTATTATTTTGTACGAACGATTAGATATTTGTAAATCTATACGTAGAGATAACGTAGATCTAAAACGTCGAGATTAAATTCATTACAAATGGGTAAGGGAAAATCATTTTATTGTTTATAGCAGCGGATTTAATTTTATGAGGAGCCGATAAAACTATTTTTAATACCACTTCAATAAAATTCTTACCTTATGTAACCCTATTCATATATAGTGTAGAAATAAAAGACACGATACAATATAAATGTATAAATAAATTTTAATTAGGAAAATTTTCTTTGCAGGGTGCCAGAGCTCCTTGGCTCCCTTATGGCAACATTATTTATAAGCTAGATATGTAAATTTGTTAGAATTTGTATAGCAAATATTTCATTTCTGATGTAACAGGAAGTAATTTGAAGTTTTTATTTTCCTGTCTACTTTTATAAAGTCGATTTTTTTAATACATAAATTAAGTATGCCAGGTATGGCTGAATTTTGCTAGTACAAAATAGTACTAAATAATAGGCCTACAAATATTTATGTTCCAAAATTTTCCAACTTCATTCATCTATCGTAGTCTACAAACATAAAAGACGTGTATTAAACAAATAATCAGATTCATTTATCGGGCTACCAAAGTTAAGTAATTTCTAAGAAATTTGGCAGGAGACAGGCCACCAGGCTGCCGTCTCTTGTTAAATATAGGCCTAATAATAGTAAAAAAATAAATTTATTTATTTATAATTGCATAAATAAAACCTGAAACAAGACGAGACAGGGAGAGAGTATTTCAGGAAGTGGGCTACGAAAGATTCCGTTTTGTCAGTATGCATACAGCTGAGATTGGTGATGTAGAAAAATTATTTAAGTTCGTTTCGATTTGCCTTGTCTTGTTCAAGTACTATAAATATCGAATATTTATAATTATTGTGAATAAATTACAATAATTTAAGTCCTAGTAATAAATTAATTTCTGCTTCGAGAAAGCTCTTTCTGTATTCTTCTGTGTAACCGATAGTGTTAAAATCAGATCAGTCAATAGTTATAAAATCCCGATAAATGAATATCCCGACGTTTAAAATCCCGGCAGGATTAAAATTCTGACACAATGAAAGCCAAAATAACTTATGTCAGTGATCTGACATTGATTCATTAAAAACACAGATGTTTGTGCGATTTTTATTTATATATATNTCAATCTGCAGCCGAAACTACACATCGCACATGAATGGTGTTTGTGTGTGGTAGTAGCTCTAAGTCTCCCATCGTGCACTATGTTGGTTGTGTCTCGATAGCTATAAGGGTGTGGCAGATATGGGGTTCAAAGTGGTTGACTTCTAAAATGTGTAACAATGGAAGTGTCAACAATGAAAGTGTTAACAAAGGAAGTGTTAAGATAAAACAGCGTGCAAGATTTACAGGCGCAGATGCGTTTTTGTGAAAAATCGAACATATTTTTAGACCCATGTAAAAATTCTCTAATTAGTCTGGAAACGGGGGACCTAATTCTTGCATTCTGTTTAAACAGGTATATAATGTGCTATTAATTATTAATTAACTATTTAATGGCTATAATGTAATCTTAACCTTAATCTTAAATGTTTTTAAATACAGTAGTCGAAAATGTTTTGGAATAGTCGAGGGCCGTTATGTGTGAGTAGTGGGGATGGCTTTTGGAGACGTGTAACGCACACGCTTCACTTGATTTTTCATAAGTAAAAGTGTACGAATAACAAAACAGAAATAATTTTCTCTAATTAGTCTGGAAACGGGGACCTAATTCTTGCATTCTGTGGAAACGGGTAACGTAATTATCTTAATCTTCGCTATCGTTACTTTTTTCCCGAGCAACGCCGGATTTATCTGTTAATATATACAATAAAAACTATTATATTCATGATTATTATACAGAATGACATATTTTTTTAATGTAATCTTAAGTCATGAGAAAAAATATTATTTAAAAAAATATATACGTTATAGAATACTGAAGAATATATTTTCAGAACATTTGCAAATTCCACTGAGAGATTAAAACAACAAAAATCAAAATCATTCATTCAGAAACATGTTTTTAATTAGTGGGTAGTTTATGAAATAACTTTTCCTGTTCCGGAGTCTCAGAGAGAGAAGGATGAAGATATTGTTGCGAAAATTGATAGGTAGCTTATATAGAATATGTGGAAGCGATTTATCGAAGAAAAAATTAGTCTAATTTTTCTCCGCCAGAGGAAAAAATAGCGCTGCAAACTCAAAATAGAAAGGCACGGAGGATTCCATGCTTATTGATTTCAGGAATATATTATGAAGGCTGCTGTCCATCAGTAGATATAGCATGTCGAAAATAAAGAACTGTAGTTTTATGGGAGTATGACTTCAGTCATCAAGATATGTTGCGAAACACCCATAAGAAATAAATTACTGCAGAATCTTCTGAAGGTGTCCACTCAAAATAAGATTTTTTTGTCTTTCCACTTCGGATTCTTGCTTTAGTAACATGGTGAAAGTGAAAGTTCTGTATCTTCCGTCTCCTCAAGCCGATTTCTATAAAATGAGTCCGGTCCGAGATGATCAAAATGTAGGTTCGTTGGAAGTAATAGGAAAAGGGTGCTTTTACTCAACTCGATTCAATATATGCAATATATAGGCGTTTGGTTTGTTTACGGCAATGCGACACGTGGACGATCTGTCGAGGAGGGATGCCTCCCGGGAGGATTTTGTATGGGAAACTGGTATCTATTTAGGTGTTACTAACGTAAAGAAAGCCCAGAAAATTCCAAGTGGCTATCCCGTTGGTCGTGGCAAACCCACGACCAACTATCAGTGTTCAGTTTTATCCACTTGGTTCTGATGGGTTTGAAGGAGTATAATCTCTCTCCCTATTCTCAACGCGCTTGCTGAGAATCTGAGATCAAGTACAGTACTATCATTTCCGAGCCTTACTATTTGCACTTCTCTCCCCAATTTAAATGTTTTTTTTTTTTTTTTTGGAAGACAACTTCCGATCAATCAGAAAGCTTTGGTGGTGGGACAGCTTTTTTTCACTTATGCTGATCCAAATGTGGGTGCTATCTCCCACTTGTTTACTGTTTTTCTGCAGCTGTAAGTAGTTTATGACTAGACCACACCTGAGTCAAATTTAACAAATGACAAGCCTTCTTTATTTTTCTCTCCAATCTCAAATATTTTACACTGAAGGTTTCGAGAACCAATTAGCATCGATTATTTTTTTAGTTGGGTAATAGCAAAAACGTGCAGATCTAAATAATAAACAAAATTAAAGGTAGGCAAAAAGCACTTAAATTAATCGTCAAATTAATGGTCAGATTTAGGGAGAAATCCCTGATTTTCCTAAGTACTTTTCAAGTTGAGCATGGAACAAGGAAATCAGAACAGAATTGTTAAGATTCAAGCATTTTCTTGCTCTAAAAGGCGATATTTTTAAAATTTTTTTTCACTTAAAAATTTATAGAGACTTTTGTCAACTTTATTTATTTCAGTAAAAAGTTCGACACTTGTTTAAAATTTCTAACTTTCGGATCAGCAGATTGACAGACTAATCAAAATTTTCAAATATTCTAGCACGAGATGTGAAATGTTTACGACTTATCTATGCTTGTTTCATCTTACAATCTAAATGGACAAAATTATTTGAAATTTTCTTTATGTTTAGAACACAAAATGGCAGAATAGTAACTCTTTAGTTAAAATCTTAAATATCTTATAATTTATATAGCCTATATTATATTTCAATTATTGAATGTATAGATTTGGTAAAATTAGAAAATTTTAAGTATTATTGGAGATATTTGAGTCATTGGGGAAGGTGTTATCGCCTTAGATCAGGGAAAAATTTGCTATGCCGTCTGATAATAATGCGCCCGACAGGATGTCGAGACACTACGAGGTATCGAAGGACCTAGAATAATTGACTGTTTGGCTTCAAATTTTTCTGTTAATATACTAGGCATTTCCATTTGAATAAACTATTTCTTTCTTTCTTTTTTCTTTTTTGTAAGAAAATTACAGAAAAACAGAAGTTACAGTGAATTCAATTGTACAGTACGTGGTATCTACTCAAACATGAAATGTTTGAGTAGATATCACGTACAATTGAATGCAATTTTAAAATATATACATTTGTATAAATTAAACACGAAAATAAAAGACCCAAAAAAAACAAAAAAGTATTTATAATTGCTTTTATTTTGTGTATTATAGAATCATTTCGATACATAAATATTTGTGTTTAAATTAAGAATCAAGATTTAAAACTAATTATTCTTATACCTTAAAAATAAAAGTTAATTGCAATAACATTAGTGCTTTTTTAGCTTTCTAGCAAGTAAATAGTTGACTAAATTTCAGATTACAATATAAAAATATAATAGTAATGCTTTAAGCTTCAATAACAATTTTGGTTTAATGGATGGAATTACTTCTTAAGGTTGATTTTTCACCATGACGAAATCTGCTAATGTAAGCCAAAAGAAAATGTTAAAATTATCTGAAATGAAATTGGTGTCATTATTTTAAAATATTAATTTATAAAAAAAAGGTTTACATTGGCTTATCAGAATGTGAATATTACTATTAATATACGAAAGAATTATATTTGTAGCAACAACCGTTTCGTCATTTTAATTCCTTATTTTAATTTGACGGAGAGGGATCTACATTTAAGTCTAATGCGTAAATACTGTAAAAAATTATTACTGTTTTAATTTAAAACATAAAATTGGCATTTATTTCGTGATTTGTATCAATTTTGCCTCGAGTAAACGTTTAGCAATGCCTCGGATTTCGTCACAATGCCAACCAACCTTTAATTATTCAAGCTCGCTTCTAGTTTATTATGCCTCTCCAGTGGCATTTTCTGCTTGTGGAATCACTACAAAAGAGAGAAAGAATTATTAATATCATCAAAAGAAATGTATTTGCTTTTAATAAGAAATTTGATTACTGAGTGCATCGTTCGTTCTGATTCTACCCCCTTCATCTCTCTTTAATTCAATAATGCGATGTGCTTTTACTCCGTCTCGAATCATTTCTTCGGATTCACACGGTTCTATTCTCAGATTTGAACTGACAATTCCTTTCTAAATATTCGTTAAATTATATTTTACTTTTTAAAAAAATGTATTAATAATTTAATTCTAAAAGAACTTACAACAGATAAAGGACCTTCTTCGTCAACATGAAGAGCAGCTTCCTTCTCACTATCTCTGTATATTTTAGATCTCAAACTTTCAACCTTAAAATATATATTTATACAAATTTTAATTATTGTACGAGCTAATAAAAGATATTCGTTAGGTATTTTCTATATTAATACAACACATTTGACATAATAAAACTCACAGAGCCGCCTATTTTACGACCCTCTCCATCATAAACAGCGAAATCATCTGCTAGTATATCCCCAGCAGATTCTAGTCTCAAATTTATATCATGACCAAAAGCTTTAAAACTGACTGTTTTTACTCCTGATCTTGATGTCTCCAATGACGGATATACAATTTCTTCTCGACCTATTATTTAAAACAGTATAAAAATTTTTAAATTATATGTAATAAAGAAATATTCTCGATAAATTACTTTTAAAATACAACAATGTAAGGGTGTATCCTACAGTATCTTACCAGTTGGGATAGCCGAAACTGCTAAAAAGAAGAGTAAACTTCTCACGTAGGCATTCATGATTAATCTAAAAGCAATTTAACACTCTCCCATAAAATAACGTTATTGAGGGATGTTGTCGACAGGTGTTATCTGTCCATTTTAAAATGTCGCCTCCATAAATTACTTCGCAAATTTAAAAATTATTTTTTAAATATTATTTTCTAAAATGTTCTCAAATTCATCCTCAATCTTTTCGTAGGTTAGCAAATATTCGGGATTTTTGTATCAATACTTTAATTTTATAGGGAGAAAAAATATATTATTTGCGGAGTAATTTTATGATTCAAAATTTTATTTTTCGTTAATTTAAACTCTTTTAAATATTACTAAAAATTATTATAATTTAAAGAATATAATGCTAAAGTAATGAGTTATTAAATGTAGAAGTACAGTACAAGTAATAACAGGTGTTTGAAGAGAACATATACAAGATTTTAGAATTTGAAAAAATTAATTTGAAGTAATTACTTTTATTTTTAAATAAATGTTTCATTTTTAATAGCAAACAAACAATTTTAATATTTACCAATAATTTTTATAATTCAATATAAAGCTTTATTAAATTAATATAATGTTTATAATAAAATAAATCAATGCCTAATGCATTAAGGGTTTAATAAATAAATTCATATCAAATTACCAAAAAAAATTTATTTTAATATCGATACAATTTATTTGCTTCTTTATTGTGATGAGTATATTTATTATAATATATAAAATTTAATGTCAGATTATGTTTTAGATCAGGGGTATCCAACCCGCGGCCCAAGGCAAGTTCTAATGCGGCCCAATAAACGTGTAAACAAAACCGACTAATTTTTTTATTATTTTTTATTTATTTATTTATTTATTTATTTATTTCAACGGCATAAACCTCAAAAAAAGTTTCACAAAGCCCTAAACCTTTATATATATTTTATTTTTTAATAGAAAGGAAATATTTTCAAATACTTGAAATGTGTGAATGAGGAAGGAGTACTAAATAAAACTGAAGTCTTGACTCAAAGGACTATAGACCCAAATTCGGAAAAAAAGAGAAAGGCAAAAAAAAACAAAAAGAATTCAGAAAGGTTGCAAAATTAAGGATCAATATTTGCATAACAGAAGGTCTATTTAACCTTTTCACGTTTTTATTTTTTGACCTTTTTCCTTTCTCCGAATTTAGGTCTATAATCTTTTGAATACCAACTCCAGCATTATTTAATATTCCTTTCAGCGTTGCAAAATTTGGCAACTTTGCGCCAAATTTGGCTACTCGTTTTTTAGTTTGACGTAAAAAATATCATTTGGCGCAATGACTACATTTTGGGCTACATATTATTTATAAACATATTTGTTGAATAAAAATGCACTTTAAAATTGTATTTATTTGTTTCTTTTATTAATTAAAACCCAAATAAAACAAATATTTGTGTTTTTCACATAAAGTTTTGTTTTTCTCCTTTATAATAAATAAATTTATCTATTTCTAAGTAGAAATTAAAAGTGCCTGTAGAAGTAATTTTTTAAAATATCCTTTTTCGTGATAAAGTTTTAATACTTATTACTATAATGTAGACATGTAAATCCTTTAATATACTTGTATATTTAAGGATTGGGCCACAATAAACTTGTGGCCCAGAACTCCATGACTTCTTCCAATGTGACCCAAAGAAACAAAGGTTTGACACACCTGTTTTAGATAGTAATTTTATTCTCCATATTACATTTATTTATGAATAGCCGGGTGTGCTTGGCGTTGCTTTGATTTTTGATGGGATGGGGATTGGTGAGGCTGGGTGGAAAAGGGTGGTAAAAACAATGGTCTTACTAGCTAAAATGTATATTTATTAACTCGAGTATTTACAATAATCAACTACAAAACAAAAAATTGCTCGGGCTTAGGGATAGATGGATAGGTTTTAGGAGTGGTTGGAGGTGGAAGCCTCCATAAAATTTTTCTAGTGTCGAAGAATATTCATGCCAAATTTGGTGGGCATGTTTAACTATACAAAACCTTTATCTAACATACATACATATTTTGACATATATATATATATATGTGTCAAAATATGTATGTATGTATGGATCAGATCAATAATATATATATATATATTATTGCTCTGATCCATCGCATCATATTTATCCTATTTAGAAGAGTGTAGTGATTAGTTTTACTTTTTAATATACTCAAATGTATCTTAAGTTATTTTTAAATTTATGGTCAAAGTGTGGAATTTATTTTTATAACAAAACAAATATAAGTTTCTAAGAATTCTTTTTTATATATATTCTAGTTAATAATTTGATGTGTTTTTTTATATTGTTCTATTTTTATTATTATTGGTTTTACGTTTATCTTCCGGGAGGTTCTATACCAACCTTAACCATTGCCTTCCTTTCAATTGTATATAAAGGGATGTGTTAGTGTGTTTAGCCTGAAAAACAGGAGTAGGAAAGGAAGGAGTAGAAAGAGGAACCTGTGATGGGAGATAGTAAAAGAAAGAACTTCGGGCTTAATTTGCAAGACTGGTTCCTGTAGTTTATTCAATGCAGCCAAGATTCATGAAGCAATAATAAATTGTTAGCTAGGTAGAATAGTGTTATAGATTGCTTGTTATTGAAAAGCTTAGGCACTATACAAATCTTAGCTAACTTAAAAACAACTTACCCAGATTATTATTAATTTCTAGCCTACAGATAAAAACACTATTAAATTATATTAAAACTGCTTTATGTTAATTTACAACTAATTAAAGCTACTTATTCTAAAACTCATTTAAAAATAAAACTTGAATGGAACTTTTAACCTTATCCTCTTATCGTTAAAAAGTTCTACCTAGTAGAAAGTTACCTAATTGTATTCTACCTGGTCCTAAATCCGAATGGCTCACGCAGTTTTCTGCTGATTTAGTCTGTTATTCAATGAATCAAGTTTCAAGTCCTAGTCGAATCCTCAGAACTCTCAAAAATGGTCTAACTCAGATACGGCAGGCCTCATCTAACCATCATGAGTCTGGCCGAATCCGTGATGGGCCTATTATAAAAATCTTTATAATATTCATTTACTGCCCACAGGATAAGAGTAACATAAAACTATTCTATTCTGTCTTTACCTTTCCTAACAGTAAGCTAAGTTACTCTGTACTAAACGTAATCCGCAATAATATGCAAGTCGACAGCATCGCATGACCAAAGATCCGTACGAAATATATTTAAGTGTTGTCTAAGCGTCGATAATGTAACGTAATCAAGTATATGAACTTTAAGCAACTATCGAATTTCGAAATCCTGTGTAAAACTATTACATTTTTTGAAGTTACGTAGAATTTTGCTTTATGTAAATTAAACCTCACGTCTAGTACAGTACCTATACAATCTATAAAAACAGTGATTTAAGATACTGCCCTGTATCTGCGTAAGATACAAAAGAAACACCTGCATCGTCTACTATGTAGGGCCATCAATGTAAATCTTAAACATATTGTAGAATAGAAATCACAAAAGTAATCGTCAGATCATTTAAGAATATAATCGTTAATCAGGATAACGTTTTTTTATTTATGTAAAAAACGTTTCACGTCGTCGATAAGACCTAGACCGAGTCCTATTTTCCCCAATAATTTGGCCATCATCCGAATTAAAATAAGCCTGTTAAGAAAATTTACGATATTATCTTGTCAAATAACAGACTTATTAACTGTGTATTGGGTCAAGCGACAAGATCAGTGGGACAAAGGTGATAATTGTCATCTACGTAAGCAAGCAATTATCTGGTCAGATAAAAATTGCTACCTATTTATGTACTTTGGAAGCTACGAATCCCATAACCTCATAAACCAAGTTTCAATTTAGTTATTCTCTATAAAACGATTAATACTGTCACTAATAGTATCTTTTAGCCGCATGACATTATCACGTAGTTAAACCATTCTATGTATCGATGGCCTTATCGGTCTTTTGGAGGTCGCCTTTCTTCTTGTGGGTACTAAGAGAGCCTTTATTCCTTGCTCATCGTGGGTTCGTGGGACGGACGGGTTATAAGAGATTGGGCCTAATATATCCGAGATAGACCGTCCGGATTCGATTTCGAACCCGGAACCGTAAGCTGAAGGCAAAATAAATAAATCAAGGAGTGAATAAATACAAAGAATGAACTCTAAATAATAAAAACAAACACAAAAATTTCGCCATACAAGATAAACCGCCGATATTGCTACTACTAAGCTACTTAAAATTAGTTAAAGTTTATTTAAAGCTAACTTAAAATTACTTAAAACTATTTGAAAATCAGGTTCTGGAGGCGAGAGAAAGAAAACTAAAAACACAGGAAGTCAACAATTTTCTAGAAGCTTAGAGCAATGAACCGGAAATGGCCAAATTACGCGAAAACTGCCGAACGTAGGCAAACAAAATAAAGAAATTTCCGACACCGAACCTCTTCCCCATTCACTTACAAAAACATAAGTCTTTATAAAGGAACCAAACGTAAAAAAAAGCGAAACCAAATTAAACTTAAACTTAGCCTTAAAAGAAAAAAATCGAGCCATCTAAACTTATAAAACTACTAAAAGTTAACAAAAGGGGTGTCCAAAGAAAGAAAAATGCTAAGGAATAAGGATAAAATAGTAAAAATAGCTGAAAAATAAGGAGTTAACCAACATCTACTGCATTGGCAACGTGCCAACTGCGATGACACAACACTAACTACGCACAGCGATCGAAAAACCTAAATAAAACGAGAATTAACCGACTAAATACGACAAATGAGACATCGAAAGATATTTAACAATTAGAATTACTTAAATTTAACAGTAAATTAAAAGAAGAGAACTGACGTTCCATGTAGCTTCTACCGACAGGTTACCAGCACCAACAGAGGATTCGATAGGAATGACTTCATCATAACGTGGTCTGTGAAGTTGGAAACGCCCATATCAATATTTTCAACGAAAATGCGTGTACTATTTAGTACGCATTTTATACTATTTTGTACAAACAAAATTAAAATTTTACTTTAAATCGTAATTTGTACCATTTATCAAAATGGACTACTCCAACTTTACGCTAATTAGCACATATGCCAATTTTGTGTTAAATTATTGATAAAATTTACTGCAAATTTGCACTTATTTGTACAAAAATTAAAATCTGTGTTTTACATTTTATTATTTTGTACGAACGATTAGATATTTGTAAATCTATACGTAGAGATAACGTAGATCTAAAACGTCGAGATTAAATTCATTACAAATGGGTAAGGGAAAATCATTTTATTGTTTATAGCAGCGGATTTAATTTTATGAGGAGCCGATAAAACTATTTTTAATACCACTTCAATAAAATTCTTACCTTATGTAACCCTATTCATATATAGTGTAGAAATAAAAGACACGATACAATATAAATGTATAAATAAATTTTAATTAGGAAAATTTTCTTTGCAGGGTGCCAGAGCTCCTTGGCTCCCTTATGGCAACATTATTTATAAGCTAGATATGTAAATTTGTTAGAATTTGTATAGCAAATATTTCATTTCTGATGTAACAGGAAGTAATTTGAAGTTTTTATTTTCCTGTCTACTTTTATAAAGTCGATTTTTTTAATACATAAATTAAGTATGCCAGGTATGGCTGAATTTTGCTAGTACAAAATAGTACTAAATAATAGGCCTACAAATATTTATGTTCCAAAATTTTCCAACTTCATTCATCTATCGTAGTCTACAAACATAAAAGACGTGTATTAAACAAATAATCAGATTCATTTATCGGGCTACCAAAGTTAAGTAATTTCTAAGAAATTTGGCAGGAGACAGGCCACCAGGCTGCCGTCTCTTGTTAAATATAGGCCTAATAATAGTAAAAAAATAAATTTATTTATTTATAATTGCATAAATAAAACCTGAAACAAGACGAGACAGGGAGAGAGTATTTCAGGAAGTGGGCTACGAAAGATTCCGTTTTGTCAGTATGCATACAGCTGAGATTGGTGATGTAGAAAAATTATTTAAGTTCGTTTCGATTTGCCTTGTCTTGTTCAAGTACTATAAATATCGAATATTTATAATTATTGTGAATAAATTACAATAATTTAAGTCCTAGTAATAAATTAATTTATGCTTCGAGAAAGCTCTTTCTGTATTCTTCTGTGTAACCGATAGTGTTAAAATCAGATCAGTCAATAGTTATAAAATCCCGATAAATGAATATCCCGACGTTTAAAATCCCGGCAGGATTAAAATTCTGACACAATGAAAGCCAAAATAACTTATGTCAGTGATCTGACATTGATTCATTAAAAACACAGATGTTTGTGCGATTTTTATTTATATATATTTATTTATCTATACTAATATTATAAACAGGTAATGTTTGTATGTATGTTAGTTTGTATGCAGCAGGTAATCTCCGAAACTACTCATCGGATTTCAAAAATTTTTTTCACCAATTTTTAGAATGGAACTTCAGGGTGGACATAGGCTGTATATTATTCCGTTAAACGTGGGGGATGGACAGTTCTTTACGGTAAGCCTTACGGGGAAGGCTTACCGTAAAGAACTCTGCTTCTATTTATACTATTTTAGATGCGGTTTTTTGCGTTTTTGATTGCGTTTTAATAGAGTACGTCAACAGAATGTACACAAAGAAGGGATTTTTCGATATTTCCCCCGGGGGGAGAGGGACAGGATTAAGGCTTACTGTGAAGAACTTGGCTTCTATTATACTATTTTAGATGCGGGTTTTTGCGTTTTTGATTGCGTTTTAATAGAGTACGTCAACAGAATGTATACTAAGAAGGAATTTTTCGAAAAATTCCCACCCACGGGGGAAGTGTTATACATTTATAATAGATACATTTTGAGCCACAACAAGGCGTGGCGGGGTCTGCTGGTTATTTATAAAATGTCAAATATCTGAATGGAATTTTTCCTGTCAGGATTTTCATCTGTCGAGCATTTGAGCTGTCAGGATTTTGATTAAATCCCGTTAAAACAACTGCAATATCGTAAATAAATCCGGAAAACTACACTGATTTACAAAAATTAAGGAAAAATCACAAAAATAGAAAAAAAAAATTCGTTAAAAATAAATCAATCGCTACGATATTTGAGTATGTTGTTAAATAAAAGGTACTGAACAAAACCGCAATATGCAATATAATGGTACTGTAATCGGAAAAATGCATGTTTAAGAGTAAGACTGTACGTTTCGATGTGATAGTGATATAAGGCATCCATCCAGAAGGTTCAGCCAAGGACGGCCAAGAGCTACGTCGGGTCCCGATGACCGATATTTGCACTTATGCGCACGAAGTTGTAGAAGCTCAACACCAACCCAACTTAGGTCTTTCCTTGCTACAGCCACTGGAAGGATCGTGTCAATGTCTACTGCGCGCAGAAGGCTTCATGAAGATGGTCTGTATGAGAGGCGACCAGCCATTTGTGTGTCGCTCATCTTATCGCAGGAGAGAGCATATGATGTGGGCACGTCGACATGTCCACTGGACTGCAAATCAATGAAGGTCTGTTCTTTTCACGGACGTGTGCAGGTTTAGCTCACAAAGTGATAACGGACGTATTTTGATTTGTAGAGAACTTGGAACAAGTTATCATTCATCAAACATCCGTGAAAGAGATTCATATGGAGGAGGCAATGTCTGTGTTTATGATGATATTTCTTTGGGTGGACGTACAGTACAAACCTCTATGTCTTTCTGCACTGAATTGACATCCTTAAAGCCTATGTGCGCCCTTATGCCGGTGCAATAGGCGATAATTTCATCCTACAAGATGATAACGCTAGACCACATGTGGAAGGTTACCTTCAGTAGCAAACACTTCAATTCATGGAGTGGCCAGCTCGATCTCCGAACCTGAATCCCATCGAGCATGTCTGAGATGCTCTACGAAGACGTATTGCTACTTTCAATCCTCATTCTCAGGCTGTTGCCAGGCTTAGAGCAGCTTTACATGAACAATGGCTCTCACTTCCTGGATCACATAATTGACAGCATCACACATCGCTGTAAGTGCTGTACTGCTGGTCGGGGAGATTTCCCTATTCACTTCCCTATTCAAGATACTTTCCCTATACCAAACTGACACATCCAATTTGTCAATTCATACATGTACTACTATTACTATAACATTATAACTGTCCTGTAATTTGTTTTCATGTTACTTTTAAAAATTCTGTACAATTAAAACTTAAAATCAAGCCTTAAGAATGTTGAGGTCGATTTTGATTACAAGAAATCGGTGTTTTGGAGCAGGATCCTCATTATGCTCTTCTCCAACTCCATTCAAACATTTAATTTTTAAGTGCGATTGTTCGTGATAGGAAGACATTATTAAAACCATTTTATTTTATTAATTTATTTATAATTTGTTTATATCAGTTTATATAATTTTATATAAACGATAGAAATTTGATATTTTGATCACCTAGGTTTATAACAAAGTTAATTTCAGCTTTATTCTCTGATATATCAAACTATTCGGTAATATTCTCTGTAAAACAGTTAAATTTGTGTTTTAACTCTATGACATACTGGATATTTTTACCCAAATTTTCAGAATGAACATGTTTCTGTATACAGGCATGACTTTGGAGTACGAGGTTCCGTTCCCTGAACACTGGGAGTTCGGTCGTGGGTTCGCGCCTCACTAGGACGGCTGGACACGTGGAGTTTTCTGTAAATTATAATTAAATGGAAAAAAATCATTAAAACTAATTAACTAATAATTACTATTTCATCAGTTCTTTGTCATTACCCCTGCACTTCACTGAAAGGTGGCTTTTAAATTTCCCAGTTTATATTAGAAAAGTTATAATAGTGCTTAACATATGAACGAAATGTATATAACATTTTAATTATTATTTAAAAGCCACTAAAAGTATCAGGAGTCACGCGTTCAGTCGCCAAGCGCCGACGAATCGTACGTCATCGTCTTATGCCTTGACGTAATAATACAATTATTACGTCAAGATATAAGACGATATTGATATCCAAACAAAAACATCTGAAATCTAAGAAAATTGCTTCAAGTAAAAATTTCTGACAATTTAGACGACGGTCAAAATTTTTCTTAGGAGTTTTTCTTTGGATACAATAAGCTTGGCGCTTGAAAGCGAAATGTAGAAAAGAATAATACAGGTGTGGGTACCACTTCCAAGAGCCAAGTTTATCTTTACCAAAGAAAAACTCCTAAGAAAAATTTTGACCGTCGTCTAAATTGTCAGAAATGTTTTCTTGGCGAACTTTTTTACATCTCACTTGTCAGATTTTTTATTGATTTTTTTGTTTGGATTATTTATAAATTTCCTTCCATATTTCGAAACCGTGTTGTGTCTTTATATTTATTTTTTAAAACCGCAATTTAGCGTAATAACCAACACTTGGCACAAATTCGTTTTCAGTTTCGTTTATTTCAGTTTTTGTTGATACGCGCTTATACACACGTTTCGCGCTTTGTTTCGCCCCTCCTCAGTCAACTAAAAACATATAAAACCAATTTTTACACACATTAAAACCCGACATATGAATTTAAAAACCGTGAATTATACAAATAGCACATGACATACCTTTTAAAATCACAGATCCCATCTTTTGGCGTATTTCCACAAGCGGGGATCATACACTATATATTGGACCGTTTCAATTACCAGGCTGAAAATTTAATTCTACTTGGTACATACAAGATATAGACTTTCTCAATTAAACTTTACTGGGCTTCGAAGACTTATCAAACTTATATTAAGTCTTATAAAAAGTAATACAGTTAATATACTTAACACTTAGATATCCAACTATATACTGAACTTATCTCTACATACTTATTCACGAAAGGTTTCTTGACATATCGGAAAAAAACTCATAACAGGCATGCAGCACAGTTCTTCTTTAATATCAACACTAATTCGTATACAATTTTTATTATTAAACTTTCCTTTTTATCAATATTAGTAATAGTTCTTACCTAAACAGGTCAACTAACTTCACTTTTCTTGAATTGTATATGTTCAGCTCTCAGAATTTAGTGGTGTTTTTCTTTTTGTATGGTGATTTGCATAACAATGTGTTCTTATTCAAAAATTGCGAAGTAAGATTCGTAAGTAAACAAATAATAATTATTATTATTTATAAATGTTGTACATTTAATCAAAAATTCTCTAACAGCTAATATATATTAGCTGTTAGAGAATTTTTGATTAAATGTACTGTACAAAGTTTATAAAATATTAGCTCAAAACTATCTGAAGAATAGCTGGAAAAACTAACACCCTAGCCTATAAAAAATGATCCAAAGCTGAAGCCAAAACATTTTTAAAGAATATATGGCACCAGGCTTCAGAAAAAGATCGAAACTCCAACTAGCTTCTACTCCAAAGCCATGGCTCGCAGAGCTGTTTGAACTGTTGGATATGACAATATGGTCCTACTCCATGGCCACCGGGTTTTCCAGACTTAAACCCTCTAGACTTTTTCCTGTGGGATCATCTAAAAGCATCGGTGTACGATGCATACCCAGCAGCGTGTGATGTTGGCGAACTAGAAAGATGCATCCGAGAGGTTGTGAAACTAAGACACCAGGAATGCCACATGCTATCCTTAACGCCACGCTCGACATCTACATCTTTGTATTGTCGCCTAAGGCGGGCGTTTTGAACATGTTCTCTAACAAAATAAATCTCACGTTTTTGTATCGAATTTCTGTAATGTTTTCTTTAATCTCAGTCACATTCCGTCTTTGTCCTTACAGGTAGTTCATTTCTGTTATGCTAAATCCTCTTAAATTAATTATCTTCAGTTATTTTAGCTCTGGCAAAAGCATGCGCCAAATGCTTACATTTGTGTAATGCTGGAAAGATCTCTTATGCCCCTAGAGAGATGGTTAAGTGGATTGAATATCCTGTGTGACAACTTTATTCAGGAAATAAATATAAAACTTTGATACAAGTTTACATAATATAGGAATAAAATATGTCCATGTGTCGATAAAATGTAAATAAAAAATAATTTTTTATTTACATCTATTATTGGTAAATAAAAAATAATTTTTTATTTACCAATAATAGATTACTATTAAATGTTCGGAATGTAATTAAGCCTATGCTATTGAATACAATAGAATTCTTCTGTTAGATCACAAGCAATTGAGCTGAAGAAAGAAAATATCATATCGCATTGCGTCATATAGGCTGCTAGTAGATCTGTAAGAGCAACACCCAAACTATGTCCTCCGGTTAAATAAGGCCTAAAATTTCTCTCCCTTCAAACAAAATACGTTGCCGCGGCATTGTCCAGAATATGCCGTGTACAAACCCTCCAAATAAATTTTAAAATATGTTTTTGGAATAGAACAGAAATTGTAGTCTTCTGCTTCCTCTTTCTTACACTGTTATACACTTACAGAACCCCACATACGCGAACTAGTTTGTCAGTTCTCAAGAAACTGAGCGGTGTCATTTATCAAGATATTATACAGTAGTCAGATGAGCCCGTTGTGTTTCGAGAAACTCACATTAAAATAAAAAATACATTAGGAAAAGCAAAAATGTGGCATTAAAGTATAAATTATTATATGTTATTTCAAATTTAATTTTAATTTTATCACCATAATAATTGGACTGAAATTTGAATTGTAGGCCTATAAATTCTCACTGTTATCCATGTGTCTGCCTATCTTTCCTTAATCTCAAGAATGGAGTTAGATAGATGAAAGAAAAGTCCAAATATGGAAACCTCGTTGGCAAGAAGCCCCGATTAACTATATATAAGCTTCCGATTTAAACCGGAAGTCACGTCATTTCAATTTAAAAATCCCCCCGAAAGGAGTTAGATAGACCGGCACGACTCTATTGTTAACAGGAAAAGTATTATGCACAGGGGCAAGACACTACTAATTTGAGGTGGCGATCATATAATTTAAATTAAGTAAATTAAAAATATGTTTAAAATATTTGATGTGTGATTTTATTTTTAAAAATATTACATTACTTATTATTTTTAACGAAAGTAATCTAATTAATAAAAGTTTATTTAGCTTTATATAAAATTCAATAAACAGTAGAATTTATGCAATAATCTTTAATAAAATTTTTATTTATCGAAAAAAAACAATGCTGAATTAAGCCGAAAATATTTAGAACTCATTATTTTCGTAAATCATTCTTCTAGTTGTTAATAAGTTGATTTTCTTTTAACATTTAATACAACGGGCAGCATATAACCTGTAAAATCGAAAATAATATTTAAAAAAAAGTTTCTATTCTATCGGAATTCAGCTAGAATAATACATTGATTCTTACCCGGATAAATTTTCAATATTGGCCCTAGTACATGAAGAGAATAAAGTTCCATTTTGCCAGTTTGATAGATAGCTCATAATAAATCCCCATGACCATGGGCAATCTTTTGATCCGGGACTTCGAGAAATGCTTGAAACGGGATCATCTTCATCGTGTGGACTTCCCAATCTGCAAAATATTTTCTTTTGTATCTATTCCTAGAGTTATATAATCAAAAAATACTTACAAATGAGCAACTTCGTGTGCACAAGTTTCATGGAATTTAAAGGTGTTATGCTGAAATTCCGAGACCCCAAATTTATATTTATAACTGCAAACTCCACCAACGTAAGCTATCCCTGCATTGGAATAACTTTATAAATCACCATATTTTTGTATCGTTAAAATATTTATAAACATTTAAAATATCATTTACCTATTGTTCCGTATGAAACTCTATTACTGTAAAGATCGCACATTCTTCTCCTGTAATATATTAATACATTGATATAATGAATCAATATCTTAATCAACAGATCTTAATATATTAATTCTGTGTTTTTAGATATTAGAATATTGAATTCCTATTATACCCGGTTATCAATAAGGCCAAATCCGCGATGTTGACAGTTTGATCGTGTTTATCTTGATAAAATGTCTTCATATTTGCTATTATTCCTGAAGAATCTAAACAATTTCGATCTTGTTCAAGAGCGCTAGCTTCAATGAAAGATGCTTCATAATCTACCTGTAAGTAAATTGGTTAAAGAATAAATAAATGGTAGTTTTAATTGAAAAATTTATGTATTAGTACTTACGGTAAATTTTATAATTTTTATAAGTTTAATTTGAATATTTAATTTCACACTTTCAATTAGGTTTTGCATCTATAAAAAAAATAATTGAATAATAATATTATTATTATTAGTGAAATGTAAAACAAGTAAGCGATTTCAGTGACGGATTCAGAAGAACCCAAAGAGGGGTTAATTAACTTAAACATTAAAAATATTTGAATAATTAAGTGCATTTTATTAGCAAAAGTTTTCCCCTTTATGTATTAATTGGGAGGGCTTAAATCTCTCTGTAGACCTCTTCTTGAATACACCACCGAGTAAATTATTCAATTTATTAAGTTTAACAAAAAATATTATAATAGCCTACTTACTTCAGTTGCAATGATAATACATTCACTAATAAGGACATTATTGTCGTTGTTATGAAAATGTGTATAGTTACTTTCTAGAATTAATACCAATTCAACCTGAATACAAGTGACCGTCTGTCTTTCACTTTCAGTTTCGTTCATTCCTATATTCTCTGGAATAATCACTATAAAAGACACAATTATGAATATTATCAAATATCTTTTTTTTTTTGTTTCTAATAAGAAAATTGATTACTGACCTGCATCGTTGGTTCTGATTCGACCCTCTTCGCCTTTTTTCAATTCAATAACGCGATGTGCTCTTACTCCATCTTTAGCCATTTCTTCGGATTCATGCGGCTCTATTTTTAAATCTGTATTGACAATTCCTTTCTAGAGATTTAAAAAATTAAATGAATTTTTAATTATAAAAAACACGATTTATTATTTTTAATTATTATAGCAACCCTTACAATAGTTAGAGGACCATCGTCATCTATGAGAAGGGCTGCACGTTTTTCCTCATTTCTGTAAATTTTTCGCTTAATATTTTTGACGTCCACCTTAAATAAAATTAGAAAATGTTTAGATATTTGATGGAAAAGTTTAGAAATTTAAAATACCAAAGAAATAAATTATAAAAATCATACGTAATTTTCAATTTTACTTCCTTCTCCCTCGCAAATTGCAAGATCATCTGAAATTATTTCGCTGGCTGGTTCTACTCTCAAGTCTATATTCTGATCGAATGCTCGAAATCTAATACGTTTTACCCCGGATCTGAACGTCTCTACAGTTGGATACACAACATCATCTCGTTCTTCGACATTTCAAATTAAAAAATAAAGTGTAAGTTAGAAATGTTTAGCAAAAGTAAAATAATATTAGGTTACTGACAGACACACAAAAGAATTAGATTAACCCACCAGTAGGAAGTGCCGAAACAACAGCACAGAAAGGAAGAATTGCTAGATACAAGAACATGTTTAATGTACTGTACTTGCAAGTTTGCGTGCATTTTATACAGTAACGGTGTTCCTAAAACATGTTTAGGAAGTGTTACGTCATTAATGCACATTCGCCTACGTACTCTACGCCTATATACGTCTGCATATTCTAATTCCGAAAAATAATTGATGAATTATTCGAATATAAATTAATATTTTTATTTTTATATATTCAAAATAATTTTACGATTAAATATATAAGTATATATACGTTAAATAAGCTTTAAAAATGAAGTATATTAAAATATTTTATGCATTTTTATTATTTTTTTAGAATTAATAAAAGTTATGTATTATAAATTAAATTTTATAAGTTAATAATATTTTACTGTAAAATCAGAAGAGTTTCTTGAAATCTGTTATATTTTATATTGAATCTTATCATCTTATACATAAGAAATAACTATTTAGTAAAGTTTATATAAGATTTACGTGTATAAAAGCTATATTAAATACGTTTTTTTATAATAAATAATTAATACATATATTTTATATTTGTCTTAATTTATTTATTAAAATTAAATTAGATATTTTATACAACTACATAATACACAGCATGTGTTAAAAGTAGCTGCACAATCACTAACTGATGGTCGATAGTTTATGTGTAAGCATCACCACATTTAGAGGAAACTGTTTTTATTTATTTATTTTTATTTAAAATATTCTTTAAAAATATAGAAATAAATTTATTTTAAATTTAAAATCTGTTAAATTTAAATGACCAGAAATAAAAAATAATAATAAATTATAAAGTCGGTTATTTTATTGAATGCATTAATTTATTAGATTTATATGAATTATATTATGCATAATATTACACTATTCGGTATATCTAAATTAATTAATTAATTAGTCTAGAAACGATTATCGGACCGAGGCTTGGTAGCGTTACTGGCACGAGAAAGCAGGAATTTTGGGTGCTCGTCCAGCTCCGGGACGATCTTTTCTTATAGAATATTCCAAAATTAAATTAAGTTTTAACTTTTGCAAAACTCCTCCTATCAAATTTCTCCTCAAAATGTTAAGAACACCAGCAAACGAGTCAAAAACATAATTAAACCATTTTGTTTAGAACGAATTTAGCTGTTAATGATAAAACAATAATGCAAAATAAGCTTTGGATAATAGATAAACAACAGAAAGCATCTTAACCAACAACTTTTTCTATTTTAAGCCCAATTTATTATAATACACAATGTCCAAAAGCAAGTTCAACCAAATGTGAACAAAACGTTAAAAAGTCGTCCCGATCTTGCCTTAATAAATAAGTAAACAACATCAAAACAATCGTTATCCAACTAAATATTAGTTGGATAATCTCTAGCATTAATCACAGCACTTATTGTTTTTAACTTACCATAAGTCACGTATTGAATAAAATGATCGAGATTTGTTCATTTTTTGTTCATAGTTACACTTATTTTTATTAATTGTACAGTACATATAACTCAAGTGCGATGTTTACTGTTGTTTATCTATAATCCAAAGCCTGTTACATTATAAAATTCAAAATATAATAACGAAAACATTGAATAATACTATTTTATTTTGCAGTATTTTTTATTCAGTAAAAATATTGTTAGAAAATCAAAACAGAACCTGCTGTACAGATGTTTTTCTATGTGTAATGCGTAAAAAGTAACATTACTACGTCTACTTGATTTAGGCCTAAAGCCAATTTTCGTTGTTAATTTAAAGGAAAATGGGAATTGATTATATTTGTTTTTTAAGTAAAAAGGAATAGTTTCTAAATAAAAGTTAATGTGGAATTAAATAAGTTAATTTTGGGTTGAAAATAAATTAAATTTATTAAAATATATATCAATTTTATCATTTATTTATAACGGTGATTTTAATTATACTTAAGAAAAATAATGATAAATGATGATAAATTGATTTTTAATCTCGCTTTTATGAATGGAAATAGAATACATAGGATATATATTTTATGGCATTATTTTAGAAATATTCGCAATTTTATAATGTCTTTTTTAATTACTATAACAATTCTAATTTTATAATTTAATTATATATTTATTCTAATTAAACTAAGTTGATATACTGTACAGGGTATTTATAAAGTAACTATCTATTTCAGTGAAAAAAAATCTTTTAATAATTCTCGTTGTATTACTAATAAATGAAAAACATGAAAACAACAAAAAATTAACACAATTTAACACCACCCCTTTTTATGCTAATACACAAATCCCAATATTCAATGGTAGCACAGTTTAACTGTTTCAAGATCTTAGTCGAGATCTAAGTGTAATCTTAGCCAATCTACTCCTTCAGTTTATTCATGTTTGTAATCTTAATTTTGTACACCTCTGATTTGTTAAAATACCACACACAAAATCCAGAGATGAAGTCGGGTGAATGTGGAGCCCAAAAATGGATTGAATCTCCTCCTATCTATCTACCCAAAAAAATTAATGAAGCCGGTCATGGAAAATCGTTGCAAAATGGGTGGTGCCCATCTTGTTTGAAAACAACAGTGTCGATTCTATTAGAAGTAAGTTGCGGCACCAAAAGATATGCAACATGTTCAGGAAAATGTTGCCATTAATTGTCACCGTATAAAAAAACGCCATACATTATTTTTGTAACACCAAACTAAATATTAACCTTTTGGATAATCCCTTAACCACGGTAAGATAGCTTATAGTCTTGAATTAACATATCTGTAAAATATTAGATTTAAATATTTTATGTTTTTAATATAGAGTTCTTGATGTGATCGCTCCACTCACCTCCACGCGAACTTTGTACAAACGGTCAACTTTGTCCTCCTATTGTACGTCATTGAAGCATACACTTTCAAATTTTGTGATTTACAGCAAAATTTTACTATAAATTCAGTTGTTTTAATCATATTCTTCGGCCTAGCATAAGTTTTCTATAAATTGAGAGTAAAAATCGGTTTCGCATAAACGAGGGTTCGTAATTTAACAACTTAAAACTTCTAAGCAGGGGTGGATAACGCTCGTTACCTGATCCAACGAGTTTTTCTTTACCATCGTTTTATATAGGGGAGACCGGGGCAAGATCGGCATGTTAAGCTTTACTTAAATTTTGTGTAATAAATACTGCTGTAAACTGAAAAAAAAGCTTGCATATTGTCTATTGGAATGTTACCTTACTATAGAACTGGTTAAAATCAGTTTGGAAATAAAAATAATTAAAATAATTACAACTTTACAAGAAGAGAGAAATTGACGAAGTTGCCCCGGGTATAGGAGCAAGATCGGCAACTTCTCTCTTTTTGTAAAGTTGTAATTATTTTAATTATTTTTATTAAAGTTGCCCCTGGTATAGGGGCAACAGTAATGGGGCAAGATAGGCACGTATATAAAATTATGTTATTAACAATGTATAAGTTGGAATTCACTATTAAAACAAAGAAATACAAATCCAACACCCATTTAATATTATTACAACGAAATGCAAGTTCAAAGACATATATACATGAATAACAAATGCAAACATGTTTTCATTTATCATCTGTTTGATTTTTATCCTTTGCTTCTAATGTGGCTTTATGTTGCCGATCTTACCCCACTAGTCATGATTTCCAAACATTAAGTACAACCCTGAGAACAGAATGCCAAGCCACGATCTGGCCACGTGAATAAGTTGAAGTTACATCCTTCTAACAGGAAAAGTAACTTTCGTTATCATGGAATTATAACAAAACCTGCCAATTCAATATAAATGGAAAAAAAAATATTATATGGAATTCAACGAAAATGAAAATTTGCTTGATAATTCAACTACGCTTGTTGGAGAACAATAAAAATACTACACTCAACAAGCCACCAATAAAACTCAACTGCCTAACCTATAACCAAAGTCTTCTTTTAAATTGTTTTTAAAAAAAATGCGCTTGACAAACTTGCCCCGCATGCCGAAGTTGCCCCGGTCTCCCCTATGTTTTTAATGTTTCGTAAAGAATTTATCGGATTTCTAAAGTGTAGATTTTTGATAATTTGAAAAGGTTCTCTCAATACTTAAAAGAAACTAAATAATACGTTCCAAAAATTTCGCTTGGCACGTGAAAAAATTTACTCTTACATATTTGGAACCCACACTTAAAATAAACATGCCTATCCTGTGTTAGTTTGCCTGTTAATTATTCACGGGAGTTGTCATAATTCACGTAAAGTAAGAAATCTTGATTGTCTGGATTGCAGAAACATGCTTAAGTAAAAACGCCCCACGGTAGATTTATACTAATTTTGAATGGCAAATATCCCCTAATGGGTCGTCTCGGATTTCTTTTTTCTTTTTGGGATCATTAGAAATAGCACATTTTCCTCTATTATAATCCATGTTTTTAATCTTTGTCTCAGCCTTCAAAAGATGGGAAAATGGCTGTAAGACTGAGGCTTAAAGGCTCGGCCTTACAGCCATTTTCTCTGGATGACCACAAAGAAAGCTGCGCTAAAGCTCGTTTTTCTGTCAGTCTTTAGAATGTTGGATTTAGTACAGTGAGACAGTGCTTTTTCTGATAACGAGAATGCTTGTTTTGCGCATCAGCATTATCGGTCTCCCTCTTATTTAAAATCATAAAAATACTGTTTATTAATATAATGCATATTATATATCATAATACAATTTTTCTTATATGTATGTGACAGTTTTCTATGAATTTATTAGTTCGCCCATATAATAAATTTAAAATTTTGACACTCCATCGTCTCGGCGCTCTGACAGGTGCTTCCTCTTCCACTACCTTACCACAACACTGATTGTATCTTAAAACTTTAAACCACTTCTAATAGGTGATAAAGATCTGTTAGACCTTGCTGTTAATGTATCGCATTATAGTAGTGGTATCCCGTCTTTGTTTATGTATATATTTTTTTAAATATACCCATGTCTTTCATAAGAAGAAAGTTCATCTTCTGATAGGAAAATTCTACATGGTTAGGTATGTACTAATAACAGAAAAGTGTGATCGTTGGGTCGGTATCTCTTCGATACCACGTCAGGATGACACCACTGTATCCTTAGGTCGATACAGAGACCACAAGTTCGCGCGAGCGGTTACGTATGAGTTTTGGACCCGGAATGGAGTGAACGGAGAGAAGAACGGAAGAAACTGCTCTCAGAGATGTTTTAAACATAAATAACCGTTTATTTATATTAAATCTAAGTTCATTATACATCCAAATTTAAGGTTACAAGTTAATATTGGCTAAATATAAGTTACGTGAATCGCTAGTTACAATCAAATTCGTGATTAGCTAACGCGGAGAGAGAGAGCGTACAATAGTGCGCGGCAGGATAAATACCTTATATTTTACTGTTGATTGAGTAGCAGCAATAAAGTCCCACAGTTCGAAGTTAAATAGGTGAATTGATATTGTCCAGTTCAGTCATTGAGGAGGAGGTGTTGGGTTTCGACAGGAACAGTCTCTCGAAGACGAACTCGGCGCGGCACACACACACAATCAAATAATAACTTCCACGATCTTACCCATCGTGCCTGTCCTTTTTATACGAAGTCCTCTTTTCGGGCCTGTCCCCGATTTCGTCAGGGATGACGATCTCCTTGGACCAATGAGGTGACGGGTGACACAATCGTGACACAGAATCTAACTCGTGGGAATCGAGGTTTAACCAGATTTTTATCGATTTTATTTTTCCCTTTTCTCTTTTAATTTTTTTTATAATTCGTTTCGTTTTTATAAAGTTGCATTTAAATTTTAAATAAAATTTATAAAAGATTAAAGTTTATAACACGAAATTTCTGACCCTCACAAAAGTATCGATACCGTTATCGGTATCGACAGTATCGGGACGTCTCTATATATGGCTATTTTGTTAGGGTCACATACATATTTGCGTCTACTTTTTACTTTTTATTTATTATTTATTTATTTATTTTCTTTATACTTGAAATGTTATTGTGATAAATAAGTGATATTTTTATTTACGTTTAGTTTTGGTTTATATTGTGGTTTTTGGTGTGTTGTTCCTTTTTCTGTTTAAATTGTAGTTTATTTGCAAAAAAGTAGCCGGGATTACGTGGTTTACTCAGGCATTATTCTTATAGGGAGCCCATTATTTTTAGTTAGGAAAATAGGATATTATAGCAATTTACGGATAATAAGCTAAACTTATGTGTTACCCGTTTTATTTGGTTTTCTTTTTTTCGTAATTTATTTCGTAAATAACACCCCAAACAGACCATGTTATTTTTTTCAAATATAAATCTCTCAAAAGACAATCCTTTTCGTCTCAAATATCTCTCGTCTGAAAAAACGAGAACGGCCAAAAATTATATATTTTCTAAGGCAGGAAAGTTTTTCCTCTACAACCGTTAATATTGTAAACATTAGATAAATTTCGATTTTAATATCGAATGAAACCTCTGGTATTGTTTCAAAATAAATTTATTCGTTTTATCGTTCAAATACATTAATTCGAATTAAGATCAAATTTAGCTTTGCATTTAATTAATTACTGTATCAGTTTCTATATGCATTCTCCATTGAAGCATCTCTGTAATATAAAATCCTGTATTAATTACAAACTATTCAATATAATTTATCGAAGAACAAATGTAACTAGTTAAACATCCTTACCTTTCCTGTATCGCACATATCGCCATCCAAGCAATCCACAGTCCAATAATAGAACTGATTCTCTTCGTCGACTTCAGTGCGGCAAGCATAACTACATGTACCATCCGGATACTGCAATACAGAACGTATTTATTTTCCAAGTAATGCAATTAAAAGATTAAAAGATAGACGAAAGCTTACTTTGAAAGAACGTAAAACGAAGCCACGCCTTAAATTCTTGCAGCGATGATCGTAATAAGCGACTTTCTCATTTTCATATTTCGAAACGGAGTAACCGAGTGTATTTTCCAACTGTACTCCAGGCATTTCACTGGAAACTCCTAAATCATATCCGGTATTATTGTTTCTAAGACAATCAAAGATCCTATAATAAAAAATAAATTTTCATTTCAACTGCAAAACAAAATTAATTAATTCAACTCGACTCTTACATTGCTGAGTAACGAATACAGTCCTCGCAGCATGAAGAAAAATAATAACGATTAAGGAACTCTTGCACGTAACTCATAATATAACCGTCGTCCCAAGGACAATTTTCGGATCCTGGATGTCCCTGGATGTAAGAAACTGGCAAATCACCGTCGTGGCCACAACCAAGACTAGAATGTGATTCGTTCGATTTAATTATGCATCTGAGAATTGATAAATTCATAAATTACTTACTTGTGAGCGAGTTCGTGAGCGACCGTACGAACACCTACGAAACAATGGGCATCGTCTTCGCTAATTCCTACTTTGTAACTAAAATCAGGCTCAGAGGATGTATCGCAGACTGTTCCTATATACGCGAGACCTGAAATTGATCGTATTAAGTAAGGTTTTTACGGCAAAGAAATTAAAATAAGAATTAAATTTATATTTTATACCAAGAAGGCCACTTGCTAATTTTCCGTCGACTTCGTCAACCAAGTCTAGTCTAAAATAAAATCAACAAAAATTATATAATAAGATTGGATTCTCGTTTTGATAAAATTCTCGACTTACTTTGTAAGGAGCTTTATTACGTCACAAGTATATCCGGCTCTTCCCATGTATTTACCGAAATCATTTAATGCATCAAAACCTTTTAAAAGATGACCTTCGACTAAATTGTTTTGGATGTAAGGTTCGTGTCTTGCGTACTAAATAAAGCATTGAAAAAATAAGAAATAATTAATTTTTTTAATAATTTAACAGTTTCAATATTACCATTACTATTTTCTTTCAAGTCTTACCCTGACTATTTTTAATCCACTGAAAACCAAAATCACCCTAATATTCCTCAGATTGTCATAACGACATTGTGCCTGAAATTCAGACAATGATGAAACTTATAATAATTTTTTTTAGATTTTAATATTTAAAAGATATAAAAGATATTAACAATTTAAACTGAATAGAAATATTTTCTGTATTATACGAAGGTGGGCAGCGAAATGAATATATATATAGCCTATATGTAGAATACAGAAAATTTTCTATTCAGTTCTTTTCTGTATATAATATTGGCCTATATATATTATATACATATATATTGTTACCAATAAATGTATACTTACCCCATTAATTAAAATAGCAACATATACTATAATAGCGTAATCGTTAGGAAATAATTTAGTAAAAGCAGTATCGGTTACAATGCAAATTTCCACATATATCGGTTCTCCAGATCTCAAACCGTCGGAAGACTTATTAATATTCGGATGAAAATTAGCACCAGGTTTGACTAAAATGATGTTTTAAGTTTAAAGTTCGTTATATTAATGTTTCTTTTTTACTATAATATATTACATAACATACCTGCATCGTTTTCGTGAAAGCCATCCTCTTCTATGTATTCCATTATCCGATGAGATCTTACTCCTCCTCTTACTCTCGCTTCGGATTCGTGAGGTTCGATTCTCAATTTGTGATTTATGATTCCTCTCTGGAGGGAAAAATTATTATCACCGAAAAATTTATTTTAAGAACATAATTATTATAATTACTATAATTATATAAGAAACTTACAATCAATGTGTGTTCTTTCTCTTCAATATGGAGAGATGCTCCAGCTCTCTTATCTTTGTAGAGATTTTGTTTTATATCGTGAAGATTTAGCTTAAAATATAAAATAAGTTGATGAGTGTAATAAGTTCAAATTGTTTTTATATGATTAACAATTTTAGAAACAAGTTTATGATTAAACCAAGCAACAACATAAAAAAGTGAGACAAGAAGATGCGCTACAGTGCTGTATGTGAGAATCCAGGGACTGCTTTTCTAAATTTTTAACGAAAAGAAAACGCGTTTTAGAAACCATTCTTTACCCTATCGGTTCCTACAGAGCAAAATAACGGGGTCTATCGAATGTTAACTTAACTATCAGCAAGTAACTAAAGAATTCGTGTCTCTAGAGTCATCGAAGTGACAAAGTCCTCCCCCTCACATCGATCCCCGAAATTGTCGCAATTATGTGAGAAAGTTGACACTTAACTTTAGTTTAAAGAGGAAATCTAAAACAATTGAAAGAAATACGAAAACTTCGTTTAGTTTTCATAGGCCAGTACCAAACAAACGGTCATCTGATCGAATTCCCACACTTAATGGCGATATAACGATAGCACACCAAATGTTCGGGGCGGACAAACTTAGATGACAACAGAGGATCGTCTCGCCATAATCGAGGGCGGACATACTATGAAAATGACCATATCGAGCCGTTCCACCACACAGTCACCAAAGCATTTCATTTATAATTTTTGTGCAAAGTCCAAAGTTCTTTCTTAGTCCTCCAAGAATAATTAGCGCCGAATCAACAGCCACAACTCCAAAAACAGGTATGATAATATAGATGTAAACTCTCTCGATCGTATAAAATTCAGGTGGGAGTCAGTAGATATCGGCTCGTTTAGGTATATTTGAAACATTCTAATAATTGTAAACGCATATAGTCTAGGTTATCGACCTATAACTCTAGCTTAGTAACGCATATCTATAATTGTATCTTACGCTTGTATATTGTATCTTATGCTTTATTTTTCTGTTAAACTTATTATTTAGTTAACCTATCAACCTGTCATTATTCAGAACTTGAATCCCTATCGACTTGCCCACGGCTCCTCCTAACTCGAAATATTGAAAGCCCTCCAATAATCGCTATAAGCTAAACCAGTCATATATATTCTATAATAATGTTCTGGATTTCAATTAAATGCTATTTCAAATTAATGATTATTAGAATTTATGAAAAATTCAGAATATTTTTCATCCGAGATGCGTTTTTTTTTGCATTCCCGTAATAAATTTGTGTCAGTCGCAATTATCGCCATAAAATCGCTACCATGTATTATGGGTTATGTGCTGTGTGTTGAGTGTTCTATAATTATTATAGACTAGTTAACTGTTGCCATCACGATATTCTTTCCCGAACATATATGGCGCGAGCATTGAGATAGTGAATTTCACAGAGCTGTCCGGCATGTAAGCTTGCACGCATCCTGACATGAAAGCTAAACCAGTCAGTTTTGACGACAAGCTGACCGAGTTGGTAAAGGTGTTACCCAACCACTGCTGGTGTTACCAACTCCGGGGACACTACTGACAGGAAACCCAAAGAATCTTTCAAGGGCAGTCTTTCCCGAATATGTCTGGCCTCTTCCTCATCGTCCTGCTCCCATTGTGGGCTTCGTGTAGCCTACAATGAACTAAAAAGATCGTCTTAGTACCCACAGAATGAAAAGAGACAACAAAGAACAGAAAAGCCAGTGAATTCCCCTAAAAATTTATCTAAAATTCAATGTAAAAATGCATATTTTCATCTACTTTCCGCGTTCACATCATCTCTGACAGAGAATTTTTCTTTGTTTGGTAACTTGTACTTAGCTGTGTACTGCGGCTATAACCAGGACTGCCCGCATCCCCGCAACCTCTTATTTCCACTTCTGATAATCAAATATACAACTCTATTCGGACAGTATACAGATTAACGAAAGACCTTACCTCAGGAATAGCTGATCTACCATCGTGAATTGATTCAACAAAAAATCCTTCTCCAAACACGTTACCAGCCGATTCTAATTTCAGTTCGATATCTTCATTTAGTGCTCGAAAACTTAATCTCTTCTCTCCGGATCTGAGTGTTTCAATAGATGGAAACACTATTTCTTCTCGTCCTGGAACAAGTTAATTCAAAATAATTTTATATTTCTATCGAGAAGTCCGATATTTTTCAAAATTTCATTATATTGTTAAATATATTTACCAGTGAGTCTCCCCGAAACGACGATAAAAATCGAAACGCTTAGTAGGAATATGAGCATCGTTAAACTTCGTAGAACATTCATTAAGTCGATGATAATATAGCTGTATACTAGCTGGAATATATATACTGTGCACTCAATTTCTACCAAATGTTAATTCTTCCTACGCGTGGCAGGTTGCACAACGTTGCAAGTGTAATGGAAAATTCCGATTTTTCGCTGAGATTTTTTTTTAAATATTTAACTAATAAATTAAAAATTAGTTTTTCTCGTTAATTTTAATATATTTATTTAATTCAAAAAATATTTGTTTTAATAGTAAAAAAATTAACTTGTTTATGTCAATTGAAGACAAAATTACTAATACAAACAAAAGGCATTAATTTTCGAGAAATTTCTGCTTCTCGATAAATTTTTCGAGAAATTTTGATTATTATTTTTTTTACCAACAATAAAAGAAAAAATTGCGAGACAAAAAAATTTCAAACAAAATAAATATCAAACAAGCATCTAGATATTCTAGAATACTTGATTTTTCGTTGACAATTAAATTAGATTCTTATTTATTAAACACTAGTCTTGTGTTGTATTCTGGAGACACTTGGCATGTGTCTGCAGAATATAACACAAGACTAGTGTTTAATAAATAAGAATTACAGAACAAGACACGGTTTCATAGAAGAAATTAAATTAGAGTTCAGGATTTAGGTATAATATTTGATTCAAAACTCTCTTTCAAACTACATTATAGAAAATTTAATCAAACAAGTATCAATCTGTAGGGGAATGCTAAGGCAAAACTTTAGAATAATTTCTAGTAAAAACACTCTTACAGTATTATTTTTCACCAACATACAGTCTATAATAGACTATACCTTACCTATTTGGGTTTCTGCCCCTTCATCTATCCTAAATAAACTTTATATTTTACTTAACAAACTTTCTAACCTCTCATTTATAGAATCCCCAGGTGCTCTCAAGTGGTATACCGGGAATTCGGTCATTTCATTGTATATATAGGCGTACTTAAGGATCTACTTTCATCCGAATATATTTATCTTCGTATCCTTTCGTCAATACTAGAAATAGAAGTTGTTTACATCCTCCATATTATCGTCTTAATGTTACTATTAAATTTTTCTTTTTCATCACTATCATATTTGCAGTAAAAATCAAAGATAAACTTTATATTGAATTCCCTAAATTAAAGGCTATTTGCAAAAAATTTTTTTATCATACTTATGACGTGTTTTTCTTATCAGAAAAGTGGTTCAAGGGTAGTGAAATTAAGGGTTTATCATTATATTGTTGGTGATGATTTTAGAGATCACAGTAGAGGAAGGCCAATGGCCGGTTGTTTGCTGTGTATTAGGTTTTCGTTAAAATTAAAAATAATTTATAGAGCTAGTTATATTAGGTTTGTTAATATTTTATTACCGCTTGGGGAATGTAATGTTCGTTTTGTTTAAATGCAGGAATGTGGCTTATTTCTGCGAGGTCGTCAGTTATATCTTTTCGATTCGCTTTTATGTGTGTTTCTCAGTGTTTCTTTTTAAGTTTATAGAGAAAATTGTTGGTAATTTTATGTTGATTGCGCCCAGGGGGTGTGCTTTGCACGTTATTTAACCAGCGGTTAGCTTTTGATATTTGGGAGACGATTTAATTTGTGAATAAAAGACTAATTAATTATTTTTCATTTTTTAGGTAGCCAAGTTGTCTGGTAATTATTTTATTTATATTTTTTTTTTTGGATAGTTTTCCCACTTTTAGGTTTAAAATGAATTTAATTTTTGTTTCACTATTGTGATATAGTTATGAGTTCTATATACTGTATTTGTTTTGTATTAAGGGATATGTTGTATCATCTTGTATGATTTTTGTATGTTTTCTACTCACATCATGGATGTACTAGCATGCTTAAATAAATAAATATATAGATATTAGTGTATACGAATGTGAGGAGCACGATTATGTTCACCTAATTCGGAGCTTAATAACTCCCTTTCCTTTATTCAAAAATTTTTGAAATTTTGCACGGAGGTTTGAGTGTTAGAAGAAATTGTTTCTAAAAATTTTAAAGAAAATCAGAAAATTGGTTCGGAAGATATGCCCCTACATCTTGATATACGACCTTAATAATATGAACTCCATTTTAAATACGAGTAATCACAAGTATTAGTAATTTTATGTACACCTGAAGGCCTAAAAAGTGTTGTTAACAATTTTTAAAGATGAAAACAAAGAATTCCGGGAAAGTCCAGCAAGAACAATGCTAATTGCTAGCTTTTTTTCATATGGCTTAGAGTGATTCCGTATCGCTTTCTTCCGGGCATTTAAAGCAATGAATAAGCAAAAGAATGTGTGACAATTTCTTTTCGTCAAGGAATCATTTTATGATAAATTCTGAATTTTATATCAGAATCACTTGTTAAGAACATTTTGGAAGGGTTTTAAAGTACTGTATATACCATGATTGACGCTGTGCCTGTTACCGCCACTTTAAAATAAGCTAGTTATGAAAACTGTTCAGTTACACCATCTACTGTTAGAGGATTGAATTAAAAACACGTGTAGGGATTAGTTCAAAGGGAAACCACTCAGGCTTTTTATAAATTAAATCTTGATATATCACTTATCTATCAGTTAGTTGGTGAAATATTACACTACAGAATAAGATGAACAAATTTATACAGTATTTTAGAAAAAAAAAATCTTTGAACAAAGAGTTCTATTTGTAGGCCTGATTAATGATACTTTAAAGATTAGAAATTAATTTTTAACTAGGACATCGTTCGACTGTCGTATCGTGATAAAGTTTGGGCAACGTCGGAAAGAAAGAAGTGATCCTTGCACTTGTTGGCACAAATTTCCTTTTATTTGACTGACAGGCGAACTTTCACTTGCAGCCGCCAAAGTCTATCCTTGTACCTATAACACATATGTAGTTTGAGCATTTAGCACCAGGGGCAAACTTAAATCTGGCACCTTTTGGATAAGACTTTCATTAGTCTGTTACAAATGTAAAAATTATAAAATCACTTTTTATGAATATAATTTTTCATACTCGTGTGTCACAGTTATCTATGAATTTATTAGTTTGCCATGTAACAATTTTGAAATTTTGGCGCCCTGGGCACGTACACTTCTCCTGTTCCTGCCTTTCCACAATCCTGGTTGTACAGTACCTGCCACCCAAGGAAGAGATGTAGCGTTAGCGAACGTTGTTTACAATATTGTGTTCGATCGCAAAATTCGATGGGTCGATTTTGATAAAAACTATGCCCTTTTCCATTAATTGAGATGAGGAGTTCAAAACGTTATAAAAAATGGGGTCAGTGACTCAGTTTTTGAGATACAAAATCGTAGCACTAACGCACGCGGCAAAGCGATTTCGCACGAATCGCGCGACATTGTCGGGCGATGTCGCTAGGTCCCTAGCACGTCTTATTATTCTCTTGTGCCAACATAGGGTCTGAACCAAACGATATTAGCGCATACAACATGATGGCAGCTATAGGTATACAATGGGAAATAATAAGTATTGATGTGTATTTGGATGTAAGTTTAAAGGTGCATCAAACACAGTGTATATGCATACAATGTTTGACTTAATAAAATCAGTTAATGAATTAAATATTCTCACAGGTTTAAACATTTTTTAAAGGCTTGATACTATCTCTACCTGTGTTAGCGGGTTGTACACATGTAGAGATGGTCCAACAATATTGCTACTACAAAATTGTGTACTAAAGTAAAAATTGTTCTTTGATGAAGCTGAAACCAGCCTTGTCTTTTGCTTGTATTTCAGTTTTATTTCAAATTTACATGACAAAAATGTAGAAGAATATACTGTATTTCAATACTATTGCTTATCTGAGCCAATTATTAGGTGTTACAATTGTGTGGCTTACCAAAGAACAGATAATGAAAAACTTACCTGTGTACTTTCAAAAATACAGCAAAGTTCGTGTGGTTTTGGACTGCACTGAAGTTTTGGTTAAAAAAATCAAGTTGCAGAATATTAACTTATTCCCATTACTATAGTAAGCAGACTATTAAAGTATTAGTTGGAATTGTCCCGTCAGGTCTTATCACCTATTTAAGTAAAGCATTTGTAAGTAGGGCATCTAACAAAGCCATATTTGAGAAATCAAATTTGTTGAATTTACTTAATCCTTATGCAGATCAAGTAATGGCAGATAAAGGCTGTTTTTATATAGATGATGCTTACTTTGCTAATACTATTTTTAGTACACCCGCCGTTTGTAAGAAAATAAAATCAGTTAAGCAAGCATGATGCACTGGAAACTATAGAAATAGAAAAGGCCAGGGTCATGTTGACCATTATTTTTGGTGTGGTAAATTTATCTAGGTCAATATTGAGTGATGACGAATTTTGAAGTGGTGTGAACATTTTCATTCTGACTCAATGTAATGAATGAAGCACATTAAACAGCAGTTTAATATTGCTTTATTCATTATATAGTATGAGATTATACAGTATGTAGTATAAAGTAGTATTAAACTGCTGTTTAATACTACTTTATTCATATAAAAATGAGTAAGTCTATTACCACGTAAGTATGAGATTATGAACAAAGTAGTATTAAACTGCTGTTTAATACCACTTTATTCATAAACTCATACTTATGTAGTAATAGACTTACTCATTTTTGTTTTTCAATTTTTGTATGATAAAGAACTCAAACACAAATTAAGACAAAACATTTTACTCCAAAACAAAATATAACAATATCTTTATGAAATTATTACTGCTTAACTCTCTATGATTATTTTGCATAAATCTGTAAGAAAATATCTTATTTTTGTGAATTGCGAATAAAATACTGAATAAAAGAAAATGACTGTTTATTCTAATTTGTTGCATCATTTATTTTCTATTATTTACATAAACATTATGGCTATTAATATTGTTATTAAGTTAATTCAAAGTAATGTGTAATTTTGTTCTTATCTTTCCCATCATAAATCACTATTTTAGATTGTTATATTTAAGAATTAATTCTGCATAGGTAAGGAAAAATAATGTTGGTAAAATCATTTAATAGCTGTTCTGTCCATTTATAAATAAAACTATAGTCCGTTAAAACTTCAAGGATTTTAAGGGCTTGATCTTTCCTACTGAAAATTACAAAATCGCATGAATTTAAACTTAATATAGCCAAACCTA